TGGTGAATTCTTTCCAAAAATCGGAAGTTTACAAAACGCTGCGGGATGTGGGACAAATTGTTAAAAACGAGACTGTCTCGTCAAAGCGGAACGTCTTGTCACCTTAGTTTGAACTATCCTTGCAAACTTCATTTAATACACGTTTTAGGTCAAAACAAAACCAAATAAAATTTTTAAGCCTGTACAGCAGGGGTCTTCAACCTTTTATTGATAAGAGCCACTTTGAACATCTAATATCAACCTATTTTTAAACATTTATCTAAATAAAAAATATTTTATATATATATATATATATATATATATATATATATATATATATATATATATATATATATTTGTGTGTGTGTGTAAAAACACATATTGCATATTTTCCAAAATCGAAAAATCGCCAGGCAAGTTAAAATAAGAGCGTACTTACATTTATAAAATTGAAGCAAAATGTAAAATTGTCTGTATTAATGAGAAATCTTTCGCTGCTTGTCCTGCTGTTCCTCTTCTAGCCTCTCCCAAACGGTGGTTCGAAATTTGAAACTGGCAAACGCTAACAAATCAGCGTTGCAATCTGCTAGTTGGGACCGACAACAGTTGAAATATTTCATGATCGAGAATCCCGATTCGCATTCCACGTTGGTAAAAAAAGGGCACTTGCCGAGGAACATCATGTAAAATGGGGTATTTTTTAACTCTTGCGCGTTTCCAAAACTCGGAAGTGATTTAGTTTACCACCATTTTGCAGCGTTACGTCCATTTTCGAAACAGAGGCAATTACGCTACAAAAACATCCGATTTCATTGGTTTTAATTTCCATTTCATCATAAAATGGATTGAACAAAAAATTCATAACTTAAAAATTGTAGCAAACGTCTTTGAGCTTGACGTTTGGAAGACAGATGAAGACGCCGACGGCGGTTTAATACTTATAAGCAAAAGCTGAATATTTTCCAGTGATGCAATGTGCCATTGTTGCCACCAACATTGAGTGAATAAATGAAGGATATCGGGTGTCGACCCAGCTGAGCGCTTTTGCGACTAACATCAAGATTTCACATTACTTATACTACCCAGATAGTATCGGCATTAGACAAAAAAATACGTATAAGATAGAAGTATAGTATAAGACTAAAATACACTATTCTTGCCGCGAAATATCATGAAGCGCGGGCGAGGCATGGGCATTAAACGCTGTATATGGCGAGACCCAACCCAATCAGAAACAATAATGGTGCAATACTATTACGCAGAGTTCAAGTCTTTGAACCTCTTGTAAAATTCTGAGCACAGCTGTTTAACCATATCTAAGTTATTCTTGGCATCGTAAAAATGTTAACTTTGAAGCAGTTTCTTGAAGACTCAACTCCCGGATTTAAATGCACCATGAATTTTGTTCACTGAATGTCTGGAAATACATCGTTCAAAAACTATGTAATATGCTTAGAATTCCATTGTGTAACATCCTATACTGTTTCTGAATAGTGGACGCTTCTAAACAACGGACTTATTTTCACCCAAGCCTTATTTTTTTAGCAGTTTGACTGTAACCGCGATCGTCCGGTCGAAGACCACGATCTCCAGCTTCTTTATTGGATGCCTAAAGATTCTGACATCTATTCAATATGATACATGCTGAGTTGCCTTCCCCGCCCACAAGCGCTAGAAACGTTTTCGTGCTTCCGGAACTTTTTAAAACGCAACGTCCGTGATGCTTTTCATTTCAAGACTCGCCCCCATAACAATGTACGGAGCGAGCACACGTGCCTTTATGATGAACGCGTGTGAAGGTGCTCTAACGAACAGCTCGTCTGCGCCCACATGCTTACACGGGAGGTACAAGCTGTCAGGGTTTCCACTAGCGAAGGCTGCGACAGTGTTTCTCTCGCGAGAGTCCAGACATCACCACTACTTACACTGGCTAAGGGTATCGCGCGGGCTCTACACTGCCTGTGCAGACGAAAACCACAGATATTGGAGTCATTCCCTAACGGAAACTGGAAGGTTCGTACGACACAGAGTACTTTCAGGCGAAATTATTATTATTATTATTATTATTATTATTATTATTATTACTATTATTATTTATTATTATTGTTATTATATTTTGTTTGCAATGAGAAAGAAAGTGTGCACGATTTTAACGTTCAATGAAGACACTTTTTATAATTACTCGTAGAATTCGCAAGCTGAATTGTCTGAATCTTGCGTGAACATTCAGCTTAAGAGGTAGTAAAATAATAATTATGTTGTAATTTATATTACTAATTTCCAATATGCGCAGAAACTGAAAGATAACTCCGGCCATGTGAGAGGGGTCTACGGTTTTTTGGAAATCCAGGAGCTCGGGGGAAAGTACAAAATCCGTCTATAATACTAATTTTCATTAGGCTTAGAAATTGAAAGAAAAACTCTGCTTCCTCCTGCCATGTGAGAGGTTGTTTACTACCCAGGAACTCAGGAAAATCTAAAAACAATGAAAGTTTCGATTTTGACGTAAACATGCAAAATATTTTATTGTTTTCCTCCTAAACTCAGACTGGGCCTGATTATCATGCTCAGGGCGTCTCTGCTTACGACACAGATGACGTCATGTGGCAACAAGGCTCTAAGGAAGAGGCCCCTGCCAATAAATATTTGCTATTCACGAGATCCGTTATGGAAAAGGAACTTTTTTATGTTCTTGGTCTGAAAAAGAAATGTCGCCTGGTGTATCTCCATGTTATCGCAATATTCATCAATACAGTTTTTGTTAGAATATTTAATAAGATGCTGTGTTGTACGAGAGTATTTTATTTGAGCACTGTGCAAATTACATTTTGAAAACGCATTTCGTGTTGTCTTATTCAGCAGCATTTTTGATGTCGCAAGCTACTAGTAATTTTTTAAATTTCGTTCCAGTGGCATAAACAAAGTCATTTTATGCAGTAAAAAACACCAGCGTATCTATTAAAATATTAGCAAAAAATAACTCCTTTGCCATTTGGGTATCAGGAGGGAACTCCCGAAGAAAATGTTTTTTGTAAGTTTCTAATTTCGTTGCGGTCTGTATGTCACCAGCATTTAGTGCGCCTTTCCAAGATTCGAAACGCTATTGTTAACTTGAGAGATCAGTAACGTCATTTGCAAACAGCAAGTGCACTGCTATTCTGATGACTGGCTGTCAGATTCTGACGCGCTGTGTCGGCCATAATCGCAAAGCGGCGCTCGATACAGGGCTGTCAAATTTGCATCGTAATTCCGTCAATTCACTCATTATCGTTCGTCGATTGTATCAGAAATATTTTTTCTTCGGTAATACTTCAAAATGCCCTCAGAGCTTCCACTCGCTTTATGCACAATCTTCTGGGCATTATGGTACAAGCGAAATCGTCGAGAAACTGCCGTCTAGAAACTAAGCGTTTCTCATCAAACATGTGTTCAATTGTCTGATTTACAGAAACAAACAGCTTTTTATATTCGACATGATAATCAGTAGCTTGCATCGTCGTTCGCAATTCTTACGCCCAGTACGTTTCACTTGGTCATAATTACAAGGCTCTGTTTTTAAATGCATGAACGAAAGTGAACTGGATGGCAATGCTCTCACACTCTCAGTCCAGAAAGAAAGATAAACATAGGGAAGTAGTTGGTTGTCCACAATACTACTTTACTTATTAAAGAATTAAGCAAACAGGTGTACATTTTTTCTAAGAGTGAAACAGCTTTTCCATCTAAACGGAAACTACTCTTATTTCACGTGTGCGCCTAAACTCTAACATGATAATTGATCACTGGTCAAGTGACATTCTTTTATCAACTGGTCCTTCATTTCTGTTCTTCTGTATTATGGCACTCATCTTCCTTCCCTTCTTCGCACTTCTCACCGTCGCAGCAGCCACGACTGCGAGACTCATCCTCGATATTCGTTTTCAGAGTTTCATGCACATTTGATCCCTCGCCTATTCACAGTACTTCCATCATCACACTTCATAGGGCTGCTTACAAAAACATTGAAGTTAATTATCACCTTTCCTTTCTTAAACATCAATAAAATCACCATGTATTTGATGTAAATGTGTCAACACATCAAATATAGGATCTACCCGACGCCCTGGCAAAACCTATTCACAAAAGATAAATTAATTATTATGAAAGAATCGAATTATAGTTTGTACACGAAAAGTTGAGATAGAAGATAGTACGAGGCAATTAATAGATACGTCTTCCACCATTTTTCCTAATTGCCTGTGTTTTTTCTTTCTTTTGGGTAAGAAATTGCTGACACAAATTCGATATGAGGCACTCTACAGATCATTCCACATTGTAAGTAGGAATGTCAAGTGGCTGCACGCCCAATAAAACGACGAATCTTCAACCAACAAATAAAAGAAGATTGCTTGTAAATATAAGATATACGAATATTCAGTAGAAAATAATAATATATCAATTGATGAAAAAATATACATATATTAAAATATAAATAATTTTAAAATTCCTTAACGTAAGAGCTAAATTGTATGACACCATATTCAAATTTGTCATGATGTATTTATTACTTCCACTACGCATCAATCTAGTCGTAATGGTTGGGTGATCAGTCGTAGTGGTAATGTGTCTCTCGCACGCCGAATATAGCACATAACTAGCAGATTAATGGATAACTCTTTTCAAAGTAACAAATATTTGAGAATCTTCTAAAGTCTTAAAGTTTTAATTCGGCAATTTTACAAAACAATGTTAAATTACACAAAATATGTAATAAACTTATTTGAACTTACTTCATTCTCATTACTTTTATCTCTCAGCCAGACTAATTTCAGTCTCGACAGTTGTCAATATTCGCCAATTAAAAATTATAGGAGTAATTATTTCAGAAATGTATAGCCTACTTTATAAGGCGATGTTGAAATATGAATTCTAATTAGCTCAGCATAACATTCCAATTAGCAGTAAGGTACAGAATTTTAATTCATGAATATTCCAAGAAGGATGTAAAGTTTCAGGCACGTTTATGTAACAATTGAACTTACCAAAACTCTATTATTGAGGCAGTGCGCCAAAGGCAACCAGTTATATACTTCCGTAAACAATTCGGACATTTGAGCCGTGTATTTTGCTTTAACTTCACCTTCAAACCCGTACATCTGATTCATAGTTTGACTCTCGTGGTTCCCTGTAAGATCCAGAACAAATTAACACACAGAAATAGATGCACAAAAACATTCCACACAATGTGCAAGATTTATAATAGTTACTACCTACTATAATAATTAAAACCTTTATAGAAAATGAATAAACTTAATACCACAGACTCTAAAACACAGACTAATTGTGAAACATCTTTTACAACTGAATGATTTAATTTAATAATTATAAAAAAAATAATGCTATCGAGACACACAAATCGATAAAAAATAAGAGCAATTTACTAGCACCAACGTATATACTTTATATATACTCCGAATAAAACGGAGTGTCTCTTCAAGGTCTCGAGCTCGTAAGAGAGAGGGGGACACTCATCCAATCGCGAGCATTAAATGCGAGCACCAACTTAAATGTTTGGTATTGAAGCTCCCGATTTGATGACAATGTCCCCCTTTTTCATTTTTTTCAACTCGTGACGTTAAAGAGACAGTTTTAATAGGGGTATATTTAAAAGTCTTCTGAAATACATGCATGAACACTTGGTAATAGGGTGCGGACAATATCCTTCTCCTCTAGATGTCACTTACAGTTTGTATTATTTATGACGAAAATAAATCAAACCAAACCCTTCGGTAGTTAAAAAGGCACACTCTAATAATTCTAAATCACTTTTCTCAAAATTCACATTTTACTGAGATCAAAATAACACGTGCGTTTTTTAAATTCAATTACAGTTACTTTTACCTATTCTTAGTACATTTTTTCTGATGATTAGCCTTTCGCAATTGAATTTCACTTTGTATTATCCCTTCTGAGTACCAAGTTGACCCCCGATATCCTAGTTGATCTCAAAAGAATGTTTTAAATATTTTTTTGTGGGGAAAACGAAATTATTAATGCAGTAGAACCCCGGTATTCCGATTCCGAACTAATTGAGCGTTTGGTCTGTTCGGATTCAGAAATGTTCGGACTATCCCAAAAAATGTACTGCTGTCTGGTAATTCTAAAGATATATATATA